TCTTCCTTACACCAACAATAGGGAAAATAGAACATGAGAATGTGACTTGTAAATTTATATATATATATATATATATATATATATATATATATATATATATATATATATATATATATATATATATATATATATATATATATATATATTTGTGTATGATATTTACAGTAAAATTAGAAAACCTACCAAGAACATGCTACCAGTACACACACACACACACAACAATGTAAATCTTCTTATTTAACATGTACAAACCCTTACAAACATTTATTTAACCTTGCCAGTCCAGTGAAATTTATGAACAGATAAGATATCCTCAGCTTATGGTTTATACTTTTATATATATATATATATATATATATATATATATATATATATATATATATATATATATATATATATATATATATATATATATATATATATATATATATATATATATATATATATATATATATATATATATATATATATATATATACACACACACACACACATACAGTTACTTCCCTAATTTCATTTACTCATTTCGATGCATTACTGCCGCAGTCGATACAATATTTCAAATTACGTATTTTCGAGTCCCGACGTTAGTGATCGTGCTGTGTACTGACAAAATTTTCATTTGTAATTCCCTTTAAAATGGCTGGCAAGCTTAAAAGTGAGAGTTCTCGTGGTGTCGAGAAGAAAAAGAGACACCCATTTTAGAATTTCTATGTAGTATTATTTTCGCCTTTTCGACTTACGACCTGGTCGTCGGGACAGAACCCCGTCGTAACTCGAGGAGAGACTGTATGTGTGTGTGTGTGTACCGGGTATATGTATATATATATATATATATATATATATATATATATATATATATATATATATATATATATATATATATATATATATATATATATATATATATATATATATATAAAACCTAAATCCCATTCACTATGTTATAAACTAAACTCTGGCATTTCAACATAAAAGATAAATTTATACAATGCCATGATCACTACAGGACCTCTTTATGACCAGAGTTTCCCAATGTAGAACAACTTCTTGATGAAATAAACTGTACAGGAGATGGACTCCTCGTTATAACAAACTGTTATCTTCAGTGGAAAATGTTCTTGGCATAAGTTACATATAATCAGTACTGTACTCACATATAATAATAAGTGGTCAACTTCTAAAATTACCGGTATGCCCTTAAACATTATCTTTTAATCAAACCTACAGCTCTAAATTAGACAATATGAAGAAACTGTACTGACAAATCAAGGTATATGTACAGTGTACTGTACATAGACTGTACACATTAGTGTACATAAATATAAAATTTTTGTTACTGTTTGCATCTGACCTGCTTGTGGTAGAGTATAGTGCTGCATAATATTGTCTAAAAGCTGAAACATTAAGGTTTTGCTTCAATTACTGTACAGTACTTAAAAATTTCAAGGGCCACTTTCTAATGCAATAAAAAATAATACAGTAAACCCCACTACAGTATATGTACTATACTGTAGCTGCACACAGTAGTAGTGATCTGGCCAACCTGTGGACCTTAACCCTGTGGGAAAAACGTTTGTGCTCCAAAAGCAGGAAATTTGGGTCAATATGTGTCCAGCACCTTAACTTTGTCATCTAAGTGATGTTGAGAGAAAATCTTCCAGTTAGGTCTCAGTATAGTTTGATGTTACAGGGTACTGTATTTCCCAAGGTTACTTTTGTGCTTTGAGTGAAGAATTAATTACTTAGGTGTGGTGTACAGCTTCAATTATGAAGAATATTCAATTCTGAACCTATGTGAATCTGGACGGCTCTGGTACTAGTTGTGTACTGTAATGAAAGTATGATGATTGGGTTGTTAGTTATTTCAAGAGAGTTCAAGAGAGTTCGAGAGAGAGTTCGAGATATATATATATATATATATATATATATATATATATATAGTAATATCTCCGTCAGTTGAAATCCCCCAAACCCAAAACTTTCCAATAACCGGAATTGAAATTTTCTCGGAAAATCATTCCCAAAGCCGGAATTTTCTGGAAAATTCCAGCTTTGGGAAAGATTTTTCAAGGGGCACATTTTCCAGAAAATTCTGAGAAGATATTCCTGATACCCTAAAAATTCCGGGGATGGGGGAGTTTTTTCCGGGTTTGAGAGATGAAAATCAGGCGCATTTTTCAGAAATTCAGAGAAAATTCCAGAAAAAAATTTTCTGTTCCCAGGAAGATTCCGGGGATGAGGGATTTTTTCCGGCTTTGAGAGAGTCGTCTCATTATCCAGAAATATCTCATTCCCGGAAGTGCTTTACACCAATTGTTCCGGTTAACTGTATATATACAGTGATCCCCCGGTTAACAAAATTTCGGTTAACAAATTACCTTCCATAAGATTCTTAACTTGGGTTAACGAGCATTCCCTTGATTAACGAATTCTTTACGAGCCCCCCTCAACAAGCTATCGCTTGCACACCTGCTGTCGTATTAGTCCGCAGATACAGTGAGTTCTGCTATAACGCGTGTTTTGACAACGCGAATTGGCTCTAACGAAATTTATGAATAGAGGAACGATATTTGTATAACGCGAACGCTTGTTTGCTGTAACGCGATTTTTGCTCACTATTTCTCCAATTTTGTGGTATTAACTGTGAATATGGTAAAGAAGAATATCTCCAAGAAGCGTTCTGGTGATCGCATTCCTGGTGATGATCGTAAAGAAAGGCTATAACCCTTGAAGAGAAGCTCGATGTTATCAACATCAAAATCACCCTTCTCCCCCATCAAGTTATATTCATACTTTTTCAAGGTAAAGTGTTACATTTACTGTATGATTTCATTATTGAATAGTACAGTATAAACTTCTTGATATTTACTAAAATAGTAAGGAATTTAAGCCCTAGAACCGATTAATGTATTGGCGAACTGATACTAAAGCTGGTTGCCCGGTCAGTGCAAGCGAAAACATGTTGAGGTCGGTTCGTAAGAACTTCGTTAACCGAATTGAAGATCCTTATGGAAGGCAGTTCGTTAATCGAAATTACGTTAACCGAGGTGTTCGTTAAACGAGGGGTCACTGTATATATGTATATATATGTATATATATGTATATATATATATATATATATATATATGGGGTGCTATGCACAGTTTGGAATCATCTGATATAAGATGTGGTAAATTATGATGCCAAGACAAGGTACAGGGAAGTACAGTAAACCCTCAAAAGTCTGGACCCCATAAGTTCAGAGTTTGGATAGTGCAGACCCCTTTCCAGGCAAGTAACACTTGTCCAAACCCTTAAATTAATTGTCATTTGAAACTGCCACTGTGCTTGGTCGTTTGTAATTGCCGGCAGTAAGCGATCCATTTAGGCCTCTGTCTCCTCCTCTCGGACCTTTGAGTGAGCAGTTTATTCACCCACTCTTACAATGGACCCTCCCATAATGCTGCTGAACTGTGATTGGTTAGCTTTAAATTTAACACACATTCAGTGACAGAAAAATGGTAAGATTTTAGGTAAATAATTCAATCAATGGTGATGGTAATTCTCCCAGGAAGGGAGCAGAAGACCTGCCTTGCAGTCCAAATCTCAGACTTCATTATTTTGAAGTTAATTAATAAATTATATATAATATTTTTTTTATAATTTAATACTGTATGATATATTATTAATGATGAAACATACACCATAAGAGGCTGATCATATGAGAACATAATAATGAATAAATAAAAATAAAAATTGGCAAATGCAGCAAGACCAGCCCCCCACCTCCAGCATGTTTTCACATCAAGTGTCATCTTGTACCTATTAGCTCTCATTAAGCCTAAATCAAATCTGATTAAACCAGTGTACAGTATCCCCATTAAATACAATACAGGACATATATTTTAATAATAAATAAGGTAATATATTTATTGCACATTAAAATACAAATTTAAGGGTCATCGGGGTCTGCTTAGTGCACAGTGGCCCCTACTTGGTAAAAGTGTGGACCCCCTTTCCCCCCAAATTATCAAACTTTCGAGGGTTTAATGTATGTAACGGTATCTTAATCATGATCTTATTTCAGTGTACAGAAAAGATAAGATCAAATGTCATATCAGTTTACAGTACAGTACAGGGGCCGCATACTCAAAAACATTTCATTTACGTAACTGTATCTCTTTGTTTACCCAGTAACTGAACTTACAGTCTCTGATCGGTATACTCAAAACAAATATCTGACAGCAGACTCCATAAGTGAGCCGGTAACTTACACGCTCAACCCGGATATAGTAGTCGCTATTTCCTGATGTCATAAGAAAAATTAATAATATATGTTGTAAGAATGCTTGTTAGACTTGTTTTATCATAGAATAGTGAAGAAAATGTTTTGTACAACAACATAATAAAATACGATATTACAGTTTGTCCTTTTAGTAAATTTTCTACAATAAGAAGAGGCTTATTTTGGTCATGATCCTCAAGTATTACTCAAACATAATTCCATCTTCAGTAATGGCGCTTGAGGTACGACTAGCAACTATCACGTGCGTCAATCTCAGTTGATTTCTCATTCTTTTGTGATTGGTTAATGATTTTGTTAACCGAGCACTGATTGGCCAACTTGCTCCTGCACTGCCATCTACCTTCAGACAAGAGAACTAAATTTACAGGGTAAACACTAGAGTTACAGACTGCTTACGGGACTGTAATTAAATTTTGAGTTTGAGAAATTTACGGGACTGTAAGGAGTCTGTAAGTTACGGTACTGTGTCTCTGCTACTGTACGTAACTGATGAGGTGTTCTGAGTATGCAGCCCATGCTCTATTTCCACAGTGAATTTGATCGAGGGGGCCAAGTTGTTAAGTTGTGGCAGGAAAGCTTTTAGGTCCTCATAACATGGCCAGAGACATAATACATCATCAACATATCTAAACCAGACTGATGTGTCATGTAACAGTGGACCTGGGACACTTAACTTGGGAAGGACTGAAGGAGAGTAAGATAAACACTACTATGATCTTAATAACTTTACAAACAGGATGTAATCACAACTTGAGTAAAGGTGCAACAAACCTGAATATGTTTGGATGGATATCATGTGTCTGAATAACAAAAACTATGATGGTAATGTATGTATGAAGGTAGTGTAGTATGAGGGTTAAGTGTTGACCAGTCTTGTAACAAGTTTATTAAGAACACCAAAATAAAAGTACCGTACTGCATAGTAGTAATGATAAAACAGGGTTACAGGTATATATCCTTTTTTTTATCAAGAACTCAAAATATTTACTACATTTTTGGACGTACAATAAACAGAAACTGAAAAAAATCAGTGAAAGTTTTAGGGATGACGATCACATTACACATGATAGTATAAGTGCATTTCATAAATTCAAACATTAAAAACATCTCCACAATTGTTCTGGAAAGAAATCATTGTAAAGTAGTTTCCCTCCTTGGTGTAGCGACTCAGTCACCCGTTCACTTTCTGTGAGGAGTGTCAAATGCATGTTTCGTGGTCTGGGTTATGTAGTAATACAGTATTCAGAGTTTGTTGACGGCTGATAACTATTTTTCCGGAGTATCCAAAAAAAGTGACTAGGAAAATCTGTTGAGCAGCAATAGGGATAGAGGAAGAATGTCCAATTAATATATATTTCTTATTTAAATGATAATACTGAATGATTAATGGAAGAAAAGTCAGCATGACAGTTAAATACTCAAGGAGAACCTTGTGTGTGTGTGTGTGTGTGTGTGTGTTTATTTATGCCTTTGATATTTTTCAAAGCTCCATTCATATTTTTCCTCTGACGGGGATAACATACTTTGTCTTCATCACACACAATCAAACTGCCCGGCTGTTTAGGACTGTGATGCCTGTCTACATCTGTTTACAGCACAGTCTGTAGCCATGATGCACAGTGATGTACAGTATGTAGTGCATTGTGAAGTCTGATGCTCTACACTGTACATACAATACAATATGTGGCATGAGGGCATAACAACCAGAGGTGAATATTTATTTTTTCTGCTGCATAAACATCATATGTGGCTTAAGGCATCATCACATTAGCACCTTTTTCGTCATTTTATTGCATCAATTTTCAAAAAATTGTCAATTATCTGAGTACGCCCTGTCACACACACAGAGAGCTAGTGAGCCAATCTTTCCACGTTCGTCAATTGTAAACAAAGAAGATGGCTTTGTATGCCTTCCTCTTCATTTTTTACAGAATTTATTGTCCTTTGGGTCCCACAGGCAATGATAAGGTTTAATACTGTCTATCATGTATTCTTTAAGACAACTTGTCCACACAGAAATAAATGGAGAAGCCATGAAGAAGTTGATCACATGGCTCAATGTACACAAACATATCAGATGTATTTATGAATATCAGTGCTGCCCACCGTAGGGTAATTCAGCCTATTTTCTTGGCCTGTAGGGCCTAGGGTAATTTTACTGAAAGAGGGCAAAACGTAGGGTAAATCAGTACCAATAACCAATGATATTTGCCCTTCCCCACTCAAATGCAGAAACTGAAAGAGTTTTTTCAATGTTAACTGACACAAAGACCAAAAATAGAAATAAGATGAGTCCACAATTACTGAATGCCATTCTCATTACAAAATCTGGCATAAAAGCAGTAGAAGAAGATTGCATAAGTAAGAAAATTAAGCCTGAACATTATAATCTACTTAATGTATCCATGTACAATTTCTTGAATATGTGTATGAAACCAAGAACTTTTTAATTGTGAAATATTTTGTCAGAATTAAATTTAGTTATTTTATATTGTTCAATATTTATTTTATATAAATATTTCAATGTTGAGTATAGATCTTGACTTGACTACAGAAGTTGGCGCAAGCCAGTCAAGTGAATATGATACGTTTTGTCTGAGCGAGACGGGCTAGAAAAATTGACAATTTGTGGAAAAACGACAACAAATCTGGAAAACTACCAGAAAGTGCTAGTGTGATGCCACCTTAAGTGTTAACTAAGACATGTGGCTTTGTGTTAACTAAGACATATGGCTTCATGGTAAAGACATTGGGGAGATACAAATGACCAATCATTCTGACCTTGAGATATAAGTGACCAAAAGCTTCCTGCATACAAGGCATGGCACCCAGACCCCCTTGATGGAGCCTCTAGGAACTGCTGGACTACATGGGTGCTTTACTTACATCTTGCCTTTTGTGTACAGTCAACTACTAAAGTCCGTTCACCTCTCTCCCCTGAACTACAAACTCCAAGATTCAGACTCGTGAAACCGAAGCAGTAGACCGATACATTATTCTGTCCATAAATGCTTCGGATTCATGAGTCTGAACCTCAGGATTCGTGGTTCAGAGGACAGAGGCAAATAAGCTTTTGGAGTTGACTGTATGGGTAAATACATCTAGGCTGAAGAGATGCTGTGCACGAGAAAACAACACGGGTCTGGATGACCAGTATATATATATATATAAAAACATATAATCGTGTAAAATTATCCGTTTTTTAATTCAAACTGATTCATGCTAATCATTATCCAAACAGTACAAATCGTTTTCTTACTGGACAGGTTTAAAAAATATCAATACACTCTTCAACTGTTTCTGATCCCACATCAATCCAAAAGAAACGAATATTGCCCCAAAATTGTGGAAAGAAGAAAGAGATCAAACATAAACTAGCTGTAAATAGTATGATAATACACTTGAAATGAGACAAAATAACCCATTTATACCATAAGAACACTAAATCATCAACTGTATTTCTACTACTTGATACAGTATACTCTACAGGTGGCATCACAAGTAAAAACCAACCTCTTTTTCGACTCTCCCAACCGAAACGAGATAATTTGTATAAAGCGATGGTTCATACACCCACAAACTAATACTTTATCACACCTCTAGGCTGGATGACTGTACATAGGTGAATCTCCAGGTGTTAGTGGTTGGGACCCAAGAGTAACTTTGACCTGCGGTGCTTGTACAGGACGACGTAGCCCTCCACCAAGGTACGCATCTTCTCGCTCTCCACTATATCTCCGCATTCTTTGGATACAACCTGAAATACAGATCAATGTACTGCACTATAAAATGTTGGTTCTAAAGAGCAGCAAATATTTGGTGTGGCGATCATAGAGAGATACCACGTACCTAATGAGAAAAACAATTATGAATGCGATAAGGTTGTTGGCAGCGTGTGTGTGTGATTCTGCGGAGTAATGAAGGTTATATCTGGGTATTTCAGTCTCATCGTGAACTGAACTTGTGTCCATAAGTTTTAAATCACTTTTATATACATTTTCTCAGTAATACAATATATCTTTATGTTTTAAACATGTGAGTTTTCAGTTTCCAGAAAAAAGGCGTTTTATCGTGAAAATGACGACTGACCTAGTATTACCTATCGTTTCGGCATATGTGGTAAAAATGTAGATTTTTTTTAGAATTCATACAAAGGTATTCTTTTTATGTGCTGGATAAGGATATTCATTCAGAATTTTAAAATTTTAATAATTAGTGTTAGTTTATAAGCTTTGAAATAATTAAGTACATACAGCACATTTAAAACATCAATTACAATAAGTCCTCATTTAACGTTGGCCACTTAACGTTGTTTCGGTACTAAGTCGTTTTGCGTTGTCTCGGACTACATTTTATGGCGCTTCACCCTCTCCAGTCTGGCTGCGCTACGCTCTCTCGGCTCGGCGCGCTTACCTCACTCGCGGAACGTCACAGCATCCCCAAGCGACGTCAAGCTAGTCTTTGTTACAACTTCACATCATTCGTGTGCGTTTAAGAGCGTTTGCTCTAAAACTGTACTCTAACCATTCAAAATGCTTCCAAGCGTCCATCAAGTGCTACTGATGCTAGTGTAGTGAAGAGGCAACGTGAGACCATTACTCTTGCAACGAAAATGGATGTATTAACCCGATTGAAAAAGGGGAATGTGCTGTGCTTGGTCTAACCCCCACAACAGTGCGTACAATCAGGACCAACGCTGACAAAATTAAGGTTAGTGCTGGAAGTGGTACTACTCTCAGTGCAACTAAGACAACGCATACTAGAAGTATACTGTGATGGAAAAAGTGGAAAAGATGCTGGCTATGTGGATGGAGGACCAGAATCTACGCAATGTGCTTGTGAGCCTTATGGTTATCCAGCATAAGGTCAGATCCTTGTTTGAAGACATAAAGGAAACCAAAGGTGAAGGATCGAAGGAAGAGACCTTTACGGCCAGCCGAGACTGGTTTCAATGATTTACGCGCAGGTATAACTTCCGCAACATCAAGATGACTGGTGAAGCTGCTAGTTCAGATACGGTTGCTGCCGAGACATTCCCACCTGAATTCAAGCAGATTATCCAGAAAGGAGGCTACTCATCGAAGCAAGTCTTCAATGTGGATGAGACTGGTCTCGCTTGGAAAAGGATGCCTGAGTGGACCTATATCTCCAAGGAGGAGAAAAGAGCGCTTGGTTTTAAAGCGGCAAAAGAACACTTGATGCTGCTGCTTGGCGCGAATGCTGCTGGTGACTTCAAGCTGAAGCCTAAGCTGATTTCTCACGCTGCCAATCTACGGGCCCTGATAGGTTACTCTAAGGATCACCTTCCTGCGATCTACAAGGCAAATTAGAAGGCATGGATAACCAGTGCCATATTTAGCCAGTGGCTGAACGTTTACGCCGCCCCTGCAATGAAGGAATACTGTGCCAAGGAGAACCTTGACTTCAAAATTCTTCTGATAGTTGAGAATGCTCCAGCTCATCCTCCCAATCTCGACGACTTGCATGACAGTGTAAAAGTTGTATTCCTGCCTCCCAACATGGCAGCACTGATGCAGCCTATGGACCAAAGCATCATCGCCGCATTCAAGGCGTATTATTTACACCGTACCATGGCCCAGCTGCTCAAGGCTACAGACGGAGAAAATAAACTTACAAGCCGAGAATCTTGGCGTGACTTCAACATTCTTCATGCAATTGAAAACATTGGCAAGGCATGGGAAGAGGTTTGAGAAAGTTGCCTGAATGGTGTGTGTGTGGGGTAAATTGTGGTCAGAGTGCATCAACAGTTTTATGGGATTCACGGAGTTAGTCCCAGCTGTGAATAGGAACATCCTCAGCTTGGCTAGACAGGCAGGCTTTGATGAGCTGGAATTAGAGGATATTGAGGATGTCCTGGCATCCCATACAGAAGAGCTCACCAACAAAGATCTGCAACTGTTAACAGAACACAGTCCCGTTGAAGACGACGACGATGAAGAAGAACCTCAACGAATGCTAACTACCAAGAGGATGGCAGAAGCATTCAACATGATCCAGCAAGGAATGCAAATCCTTATAAATGACGACCCAAACAGATAATGTAGCTCAAAGGTTCACTGCAGCATTGATGACAGTCTTGGTTGTTACACTGGGATCTATAAGGAGAAGAAGAGTAGCACCAAGCAGTCAACACTGGATTCATTTTATCATTACAGGACGGCAGAAGGAGCTTCTTCACAACAGCCGGCAGCCGAGGAGAAGCACACAGCAGCCGAGGAGGAGCACACAGCAGCCGAGGAGGAGCAAACAACAACGGAGGAGGAACAAACATCAACGGAGGAGGAACAAACATCAACGGAGGAGGAGCAAACAGCGGCGGAGGAACCCCAGTCAGAGCAGGAGGAGGAGGAGGCAGCCTCAGTCTCAGTGACTCACCACCCTCCTCCGCCATCCACCTCCTCCGCTTCACTACCCACCACACACTCGCTCTACCACCTCCGCCCATCGGTGAGTACCAATACAAACTTAGTAGTTGTATATGTTTGCACTATTTTCAATAGAAATGGCAATGATTTTCTGTATATGTAATGTATTTCATGGGTCAAAGGGTGGCTGTGGAACGTAACTCCCGTATTTTATCTATTTCTTATGGGAAAAATTGATCCGCTTAATGTTGTTTTGTATAACGTCGCGTTTTCAGGAACGTAACCCTGACGTTAAGCGAGGACTTACTGTACATTGCGCACTACTGACACTACCCTAATACATCTTAACCTAAGCTAATCAAACCTAACTTATCCTAATATAAAATAACTCAATTTATCATAAAGAAACTTGTCCTAACCTAATATAACTAAATTTATTCCAAACAAAACCTGACCCGGCCTAAAACAACCTGACCTCCCTTAAGCCAACTCCTTCGCGATTTAGCTTTAGGGATGGAATTTAATAATCAGCAGATAAAAAAGCTTGGGTTCCTAATCTTCATGACATCCAAAAATGTACTAAAAAAAAAAATGCTGTAGATACCTGTTTTTGTTCTGAGGTGGAAGGGGAAAGGGAGAGGAGAAGGGGAGATGGAGAGGAGGGAGGGGAGATGGAGAGGAGGGAGGGGAGATGGAGAGGAGGGAGGGGAGATGGAGAGGAGGGAGGGAAGATGAAGGAATGGAAGGGAAGAGAGAGTAAAATGAGAGAGAGTAAAACACAGGCTGGCATAACAAACCTTTTTAACACACTTGGCCACAATCTGCTTGTATTCCTCCTTCGTCACCGACTTGTCACGGTAGTACGGGTCCAGCCACTTCTTCACCTCCTCCACCACCTTCGCCTCCAGGGATGCCTTCTGCTGTGGTAATTAAAAAAGGAAACACATTCAGTAACATTCCTTTCCTGGACATTCACAGCGAGTTATATACAGTACAGACAGACTAATCGAGTGAGACAGATTATTTTGTGTTTTTTTTTTCAATGTTAAGAGAGTTACATTATGTGGGTGAATAGAATGACGAATGCGGAATTATGTTACCTTGTTACGCATGCTCGTGTCATCTTTCCTGGTGTCATCTCCCTTTGTGTCATTTGCCTTGGTATCATCCCCATTGGTGTCATCTTTCCTGTTGTCATCTCTCTTGGTGTTATTTCTCCTGGTGTCATCTTTTTTGGTGTCGTCTCCCTTGGTATCGTCTTCCTTAGTGTCGACTTTCTTCGTGCCATCTCTCCTAGAGTCCTTTCCTTTGGTGTCATCTCCCTTAGTGTCATTTCTCCTGGTGTCATCTCCATTGGTGTCAACCCTATTGGTGTCGTTTTTCCTGGTACCATCTCTCTTGATGTCATTTTTCTTAGTGCCATCTTTCCTGGTTTCATCTTTCCTGGTGTCATCTTTTTTGGTACCATCTTTCTTGGTGCCATCTCTCTTAGTGTCATTTTTCTTGGTGCCATCTTTCCTGGTGTCATCTTTGCTGGTGTCATCTTTCCTGGTGCCATCTTTCTTGGTGTCATTTTTCTTGGTATCATCTCTCCTGGCGTCATCTTTGCTGGTGTCATCTTTCCTGGTGCCATCTTTCTTGGTGTCATTTTTCTTGGTATCATTTCTCCTGGTGTCATCTTTGCTGGTGTCATCTTTCCTGGTGCCATCTTTCCTGATGTCATTTTTCTTGGTGTCATCTTTCCTGGTGTCATCTTTCCTGGTGTCATTTTTCTTGGTGTCATCTTTCCTGGTGTCATCTTTCCTGATGTCATTTTTCTTGGTATCATCTTTCCTGCTGTCATCTCTCTTTGATTTCTTCTTGGAGGAGGCACTAGGCTTGACACCGGCCACCACATAGTCTGTTGATGGGAGAAAGAATCATTTTCAATATTCTTTAAAACACATCAGGAATTACTTAACCCTTCAGTACAGGAATGTGGCCACTACTGATATCCGATTTGACCGACGCCAGACAAGTGTATTCAGCAGAGAAGGGAACCCAGACAAAAGGAGCCTACATTTACTACTGGACAGACAAAACCTATTCATAAGATGTAACTTACTGCCCCCTGTCTCCCGCTCCCCCCAAAAAAATCCTCTTATCAGTTCAAGTTGTTTTAGGGTGAAAAGAAAAAAGGTATACATTAGATGAGATTAGCTTGACATCAGGAAAGGTTGACATTAGGGGATTTAATCAACAGGTGATCCAATTTTTCAAGTACTTGACATGACCATAAACACACAAAACCACAATATCATAAGTTACACATAAAGGTTAAGCTATTTTCCTCAATCAGCAATAATGAGATGTTAAACTTACCTGTATCTTTCCTCTCTCCTTCATGGTTTTTCTGCACAAAGCTGTCGAGAGTATTTTTTTCATTTTCTGCATTGCCATCTTTCGTCTCTTTGTTAATAATGTCATATTCGGGCGTCTTCTGCATACGTTTCTCTTCCTGAATCTGTTTATGCTTCTGAGCCAATTTTCCAATGTCACCATACTCCTTCATGAACTTAGCAAAAGTCTTTGCTGATTCGTTCCAGTCGTGTTTATGGTCATAATCAATCAACTCTGTTTCTTGTGTCATCTCAATATCCCTCAAGTCAGAATCTGTGGGCTCCGTACTTGCCACGTCAGCTATGCTCTCAAACACATCCGAGAACAATGCATGACTCTTTGTTTTGGTTTTGCCGTGTGACGAGGAAACGGACTCAGATAAATTACTCTCCCTAGATTTCTTTTCTTTCCGTTTAGCGTCACCATGAGAGTGTGACCCCTTGGTTTTAACACTGAACACGGGAAAAGGAGGCGTTACTTCAGGCATTTTATTGTCAACTGTAAAAGTGGTGTCGTCATGTTGTGTATGTGAACGGTTTTTTGAATTTCTGTTTCTGTTCTTGGGTCTTGACTTTTTGTCTTTCTCTTCTTCCACAATATGGCCATCATCATCATTATCTACTTTTTCTTCTTCTGGCTTTTCAGTGTCCTGTCTGAGTTCTTCCTCATCAGAACTGTTTTCCTCATCATTCCCAAACAGAGAGGCGAGAACTTTACACATTCTTGTTTTTATATGTTTAACTTTAAAGTTGCCAACGTCTGCAGGGCCCTTCTTGTCCTCACAATGGATGCTGTTCCAGTTGTCTTGGCTCCAGTTACTTCCCTTGTCAGCATTACTCAAGTCACATTGATCAGAGGAAGGGTTCATGTTCTCTTTGCTAGGGATTGAGGAGTCTTGGCATTTGCTAGGTACTGAGGAATCTTTATCTTTGCTAGGTACTGAGGAATCTTGATCATTGCTAGGTATTGAGGAGTCTTGGTATTTGCTAGGTACTGAGGAATCTTGATCTTTGCGAGGTACTGAGGAATCTAGGGCATCCTTCCTTACTGTAAAAAGATTGCTCAAAGTGGAGAAGAAGTTGGTCTGGAACGCTGCGGGGTCCTGGGTTGTCTGGGCACTGCTACTGTGGGGTTCAACACAATCTGTTTCCTTTATACTGACAGGTTCTGTATCTGAGATATTTTTTGACCTATCTACTAGGTCATGTTGGACATCAGGAAGCAGAGTGTTGATGGAGGAAGCATTACCAGGATGATGTACACTATGTAAGCTGTGGCTGGTGGTGTCGTTCTTTACACCTTCATTATCATTCTCTGCATTATAATAAGAATAGCCCCACTGAGAACGTGGTTTTCGCTCCCTCTCGTTGGACGATCCGCGGTGACTGAAACGCTCCCTTGAACGAGACCGCGACCTGGATCTTGACCTTGGCCGGTTTGATTTATATGACCTGTGTGAAAATTCCTCTCTGTCTCTTCTACTGTAAGATCCTCTGCCTCTGGATGGTTGCTGGTTCCAGTGTTGTATATGTCCTTCCCTCTCATGCATTCTATTTTTTCTAAATGGTGAACGTTCTCTGTGAGAATGTCTGTCATATCTCGTACCAGGAGAAACGTTTCTCTTACCCGATGGCTCTCGAGAATAACCAGACTCCAAATTGGGCCTACCAAAATATCCTCTATTTCCTGAACGTCCCCCATGACTACTGGGCTCACTAGTGGCACACTCTTCGTCTGAGTACCTATAGGACCCCGGAGCGTCGTCCCCAGTGTCTCTCCAGGACCCGGGTCTTCTGTGAGGAGAATTTCTTCTTTGATGTTTGGACTGGTCACGCCTGTCTGACCATCGGTCATAACTGTAATCCCTGGAGCTCTTCCTGTTGGGAGAGCCACTACGTTTTTTTTCCCTCCTGTTGTGCTGGGGTACAAACTGTCGCTGAAAAGACATTCTGGGCGGAGATCTCCGTTTATCCTCCAGGGGCGACTGATGGCTATCTTGGGGAGGGTTTTTGTCACGGTACAACATTCTGGACGGAGATCTCCACTCATCTTCAGATTGAGGCCGGCCCGTGCTCCGGGACGAAGCTTTATCTGTGTCATGAGGTGATCTGGATCTTGGCCCAGAGTTAGAGGGAGAGTCCCTCTGTGAGTCAGACAAATTTGGACGGTGTTGGCTCCTACTGCTGGCCGAACTACAACTTCCTGTTTCTTCTTTACTTGAGCTCTCACTTGTTTCACTGGTCTTCTGAGACGAAGGTTTACGTGAGGGAAGAGGTTCAGACATTATGGCATTCCCTTCATCAAGTACAATGTTTAAGTCCTCCTTCACTCCATCCTGCTTGGTTAACTTTCTGTCATTGGTTAAAGTTAGTTTCTTGGAAGAGGAAAGCGTGATGCTCTGATTCTCCAAGATGCCGCTTAAGACATCATCTTCCCGCTCCTCTCTGTGTGTGTTAAGGCGGTCAATAATGGCATTGGGGGTTTTTCCTGAATATGTGGCCTGTGGTTTGAATGCTGCATGTCGAAGCAGTTTGGCAGCATTTGCTTTACGGTTTTCCTGGTTTTGATCACTATGTTGGCCAGAACATCCTGCAAGTAGCTGGTCAGCAAAATCATCTACCCTGGGGATAAAATGGAAGAAAAATATAACAAAAAGAAATAAATACATACTGTAATCTGGAAGATGATCGTAAACAGAGCCTTGAGGGGCTGGACACATAATACTAGACAAATATGATGCTTTTTCTTTATATTAAGCCAGAATTTTTGAGGTAGGCAAAATAAAAATTTTCTAAGTCTGGCCAGACCAAGTAAGAAATCTATCTGTAAAGTGTACAGTGAGAGGTCCTGTATGTACACTTCCCTGAACCTTCCCACAACCTTCTAAAGCAACACACAGCCCAAATACATTACTGAAGTAAAGGTTTGATACCTGAAAACCCACTGTATAATTGAGCCAGTGAAGAGTGACCAGTGAATATATTCAGTACTGTACACCAAAGCCTACAGGGTTGTCTCAGTAAACTTGTTGGTTAAATACAACTGGTAAACACTGCATCACACAGACATGGAATACCAGAGGATATAGTTTGCCCTAACACAGGTGAGATTAAGAAGATGTGATGCAGTGTAGAGTATTGCATTTCATTCTTTCCGCAAAACAGATTGTGACTCTTTCGGTAATGTCATAAACCCCCAAGTCTTGTGCTGACCTCCACGGGCATTCCATACACAAGAGAATGAAACTTTTTATATCTTTCAGTCAGGTCAAAACACATGAGCCTTGCTGAGAGTTGAGGTCTGACTTATTATCTTGTGTTTTAGATTTTGTTCAAAGTACATACAATGGAGCTCCTGAACTTTCTCATTAAGAATCTAGATTAAAATTGTCAAATGTGAGTGATAAGTGTTAACTATTTGCCCATCAATTTTTTTCTAATAATTTTTAAAATTTATAGTGCCATTTATGCCATGATTGAGAGTTTTAAAATATGTTTCTATTCATTTAGTGAGAAGTATATACTGACTTTACCATTTAAACAAATTACTTTTCACTTTCCGGTTGAAATGTTCTTCTGGCCAAAAAACGACAGATCAAACACTAAGAAATAGACTTGTTTTTCTTTTTGATTGTGATATAAATTTTTCCACAAATGATTTGTAATATGCAGGCTTTACAGTGAGTTTGATTATAATTTATCACTAATATCTATTACATTTACATTCTATATATTCATGTACTGTACAGTATTTCTAAAATAAAACCTTAAGACACTTCAAATAATATCAACTGCTAAATCTATTCAGAATCTTTAACAAAATAATAACAAAAACTCACGTGTGTTCAGCGTCGATGTCGTTGTCACCTTGAACAAAGTATGAGAATTTCCCTAAATGTTTGATGGCCGGTCTCTTGTCCTCAAGCTCACCTGAGGCAACCTGTTGAACAAAAGATTGGCTGAAAAAAATTCAATATAACACCAATCACCACATACATATACAGTATTGTAATGTAAACAAAATCAAGTGAAAAGAATTCAGGTCATTGGTAGATATGTCATTTAACCTTTAAATAGTAGGGGATAAGAATTCCCTCCACCTCACCCCCCATGTGTGCAAAATTGGAATGTAAGGAACATGAAATTGCCAGTAATGATGACCATCGATCCATCTTTATTTTCTTATCATTGTGTATTTTTTCCTTCATATATCCTCATTCATTCATTCTTTCATACTGTCATTCCAGTATCACCCACCACCATCATCCACTTGCAACACCCACTGTCATCATCCACCACCCCACCCACTAGTACAGGTATCACCCACCACCATATTTAATAGGTCCTTCATGATGTGTATTACACTTCTCTATTATGTTATTAAACCCATGATGTGGTATATTTTTGCTAGCCCTTCAAATCCCAACAATATATAGCTACTGCTATGTACGAAAGATACAGACAAACACAAGCACAGATATACACCGACTGTACAGTACAGCATAATAATATTGTATGTTATATAACATACTAACTATATATATCATCGGTCCATATAGCACGTGGATTTCCATATACAAACAATACCTCACTAGACAGGAATCAAACCCTGGACCTCTGCATGTGAACAGGGATCGCTATCACAATGTCACAAGGACAGCAAAAACAATCCTAGGCTTTGTTATATGCCACATAAAGATATATATGTAGCCTCATGTTTCCTAGCTGGATTCGGTAAAATGCTACTCCGACCACACAGTTGGGACGGGCAATCCTCAATGGAGATTCACGGAGCTTAACAAGCACGCTGATCAAGTGTGGCGTGGTGTGGGAGCGTGGTGGTAGCGATCCCTGTTCACACGCAGAGATCCAGGGTCCGATTCCCGACGAGTGAGGTATATATGTTACGATATTTTGGGGCGAAATCGGTTACTTTGCAAAATTCCCGGCATGCATATTGGTAATTTTGCGAAATAACTTACAAACCGACAACCTAACCTATGGTTAGGTTAAGTGAGAGGTTAGGTTAGGATGGCTCGTGTAGATAGATACACACACAGTTAAGTGGTCCTGTTTGTAATATATATATATATATATATATATATATATATATATATATATATATATATATATATATATATATATATATACATCATCTACATATCTAAACCAGACTGCTGGTTTAGATATGTAGATGATGTATTATGTCTCTCGCCTAGTAATGAGGACCTAAAAGCGTTCCTGCCACAACTTAATAACTTAGCCCCCTCGATCAAATTCACTGTGGAATTAGAGCATGACTGTAAATTGCCTTTCCTAGACTGTCTGATCCACAGAATAGGTAAAACCTTTAAGCTCAGTATTTATAGAAAACCTACTAATGTGTGTTCATACATTCATTATTATTCTGCCCACCATAATAGAGTTAAACTGTCAGTATTTTCAACAATGTTTTTACGTGCTTTGAGAATTTGCAGCCCGGAATTCATTGATGAGGAATATAAATATATCTATATTATTGGCCCAAACCTTAAATACCCTAGATCTTTCATAGACAAATGCCTGAACATTACTAAGAAATCTTTTTATAGAACTGATCCCAAGCCCACCCATGACCATAAGAATCTCTTAGTATTACCATTTCACAAAAAATTTCTCTCAAATTCCTTTACAACTAAAAACCTGGAACGTCAATGTGGCATTTAAAAACCTCATGCACTGTTAAACAAATGTTAATCAAGAACTCCCCCAACAACACAATTGGTTGCATTTATAAAGTTCCTTGCAAGGAATGTAATATGTTTTACTTAGGCCAAACAGGTAAAGATCTTGTAAGTAGGCTTAAACAACATAAATATAGTGTTAGGACAGGCTAGGAATCCAATGCTCTGTTTGTTCATTTGAGGGATAACAAGCATTGCATTGACTGGGATAAAGCCTCCTCAATATTACCTTGTAATTCAATTGACAGTAAGAACATCATAGAATCTATTCTCATTAAACATACCAAAGCATTCAACATGAATTTGAGTAATGGCATGTACAAACTGGACAGTTTTGTAATTAAGAAGATTTGTAACCAGGTGAGAAGGTCACCTTACCCCTGACCTGACTAATGAATCGCTATGTGCTATTTAAAGATTAGTAGGGTCATTACCTAATACCTAACCATTGTGGACCTGATCTCACCCTCCTCTGTATATATACACCTTGTTTTGTACTTCTCCTTAGTCTGTACTCACCCGTGAAGATGTGAATTACACCTAAAGCTTTGGGAACTTCGTGTTTTCTTTCCTTGTGGTTATCAGCATATACTTGATCACGCGCAACTACAGTGATTTACTGCATATATATATATATATATATATATATATATATATATATATATATATATATATATATATATATATATATATATATATATATATATATGCATGCATGCATGCATATAGTTCTTGTGAGTGTCCTCTACTTTAGAACGTTCAACTTAGAAACTTTCAGAGATACAAACATCATCACTGAAGGGGGTTACCTGCCAGAACAGGTGTTTAATGTGGATGAGACTGGATTATTTTGAAGAAAATTCCAGATAGAACAAACATTACCTAAGAGGAGAAGAGTGAGCCAGGTTTTAAGGCTGTATTAAAGGGCATAGCTGTACTAAATATCCATAATCTTTTCATTTTTTACAATATGTTTGGTATCTACAAGAGTAAAGTTGGACTTGCAAACAAGCCTCAGGAACGTAACTCGTTCGTAAGTAGAGGAGCACCTGTATATAAAATAAAAAAGACGATTAAGTTTACCTTTTCCTTTTTGTTTTTCCTTCTTCTTTTGCGATTAAATTTTCTGGATATTTTGCGCTGTTTCTCAATACGTATACGGATCCGTTCGTTGGCTCTAGTTCGTGGGATGCGGCGAGGCTGTCGGGACCGTTGGGACGACTGGTGTGGACGTGAGAGACCGCTCTTGGAGGAAGTTCTAGCATCAGCTGTAGATTCTGCTTGTCTACTGGTACCCTGTAGAAACACATGTAAAGACTTACTCAAACTCACGGCTTTAACTCAGTAAACTTACAGCTTTAACTCATTAAACTCACAGCTTTAATTCAGTAAACTCACAGCTTTAACTCATAAACTTATTGCTTTAACTCAGTAAAGTTTCTTTCCCACTATATTCTAATTTATTACTATAATTCAGTAAACTATATTTCCCCTTTTTCTATCTCTTTATTAGAGTTCCAACATTTCCAGTGCAGTGGGCAGTCAAATATAGCAAAAGCATCCTGTATATTCCATCTATTAGTCTGTCTCTCCAACTGTCACCTCTATGCTGTTCTGGGCAGTTCACACTCTCATACCCATTCTCAATACTGGAGCACCCAGGACAAAGTTCTTGCTCCCTACACTCTTCTTACTCCACATCAAAGACAAACTCACCATTTCTTCCAACAACAACATAACATACACACCAGTGCCAATGATGCCACTCCAAAGTTTATCCTACCATTCTATGGCTCACACTCAAGACAAGTCTTCCACTACAGTACACAGACATTACAGCTGCCTTGAACACAAGTCTCAAGTCCCTAGCTAGCAGAAATGGGGCACAAATATCCCTGTTACATTCTCTGTAATGAAGACTTGAATGTTTAAACTCTTTCTCTTCCCCCAAACCAGATCCTTCCCAACCTCTACTGTCACACAATAACACCCCCCCCCCCACCCAATATACGAGCTCCTAGTGCTAATATTGAGGGAGGTGATTGGGTCTAGAATAAAAAATAAATAAATAAAAAAGAGCTTGGGGGATCCGAGGAAACACCGACCCGGGAAGTTTTTTTTTACCATATTTAACTTAAATTCTCACAGTTACTCATTTCATGATCGCCAAATAGTTAAAATACACAGTACCCAAAATCAAACATGTACTGTATGTTTACTGCAACAATATTTTCCATGCATATAGTCTTAATGATTCCTTTACAAATTTTAGTTGTTACTAAACTTGAATTTGTTTAATATTTTTAATTGTGCACCATTATTGAAAGAAGATAAACTAAAAGGAAAGGTTTTTTTGCACTGTATTGCGTGAGAATTCACAATTTAATACGTACCAAAGGGATTTATCTCTAATGTACCAGCAACTGGGGTTTCAATAGCATATGTAGTACTAAAATAAGAAATATAAGCTTGAGCCATGATATATACAAACAAAATATTTCGTTTTCAATCCCATAAAATATTACTCATTTAATTTTTTTTTAATTTTAATTGCATCAGTTAGTTTTTTCAGGGAGAGTTAAAGCTTCTCTTTTTATTGCTGGAACGCCTCTCTGCTCTGCCTTGATTTTTTAGCCATTTCCTCACTCCGTTTTCTTTCATTCTAACTCCTTTTATTAACAAAAACCTCTTCTTATTTTCTTCCTGCTGCAATCTCTTCTGCTTTAACATGCTTCTGTACCTACTGCTGGAGAGTTTTATGATCCTACACATCATAGTCCCCCCTTCCTGGGGACACACACATGCCCTACAGCCCTGACCTCCTGGGGGACACACATGCCCTACAGCCCTGACCTCCTGGGGGACACACATGCCCTACAGCCCTGACCTCCTGGGGGACACACATGCCCTACAGCCCTGACCTCCTGGGGGACACACATACCCTACTGAGTTGCCTATACAACTATGAAATATGCTTAGCCCCTTCCCCGCCAGTGGCAGTGGGGAAGGGTGGATTAAATGGATAGGGTGGAGGGGCATATTATAATGCTTCTAATAATAGCATTGTATAATGTCATTGATCTTTGGTCAATGAAATATTAAAGAAACGAGAATGGAGAGCAAAACAAGCCATACTTGGCCAATGAGAAATAGAGTACGTTTTTGATGTGATGCATGAACATGTAGAGTGCGGCCACTCTGACTATACTCAGTAAACTGGCCCATCGTCCTTGCGCAGCAGACCCAGCCACCCTAGAGGGTCAATTATTGTTATTTATTGTCAAACATTTCTCTCATCATAATCATACACCCCCCCCGCAAAAAAAAAAATCTCAACAGATCTACGCTATTCATGTGGGTCGCCTAAAACAATGGAAAAAAAATCACCCAAGAAATCACATCCCTGAATACTGCCTCTCATGTTTGCCTGCAGATACACCTAACCCCTTGTGTACATGATCCCCTTAGTGCTGAATAAAATCTTGCCATTAGCCATCTTGTGAAGGAGTTAAAATTGGGAAGACCATCTGTAGTTGCCCGGTATGGATGCTGCAACTCACCTTGGTGTGGAGTCTGGCGTGGCTGCAGCAGGGACAAAACCACTCCTCGACGGGCACTTGTGTCAGAGGGGGGTCAAGGCACTCCAGGTGGTAGCCGAGGTCACATCCGTCACAAAGCAGAAGGCGCTCCTCCCTGTCACACTCATTACACACCTGAGAAAGAATAATTGTGTCTTGCTCAACCAAACAGAAGATTAATGATGTGAAGATGAACCTCCTCCAACTTTTGATCCCCCAAGAGCAGAAATTATCAGAGATCAACAAGGAAAAGTTATCATCCCTTAAAATATCAAAATATAATTACAGGTATCCCTCGCCATATGAACATTTAAGAAAAATTTTTTGCTTACATGAATTTCCTAGATTAACACCTTTTTCATGTTATGAAAGCATCCCTTGCTAGGGAGTCAGCTGGGGTGGTCACATCCCCCCTAATGCTTTCCCTACCAGGCTGAGGTAGGATTTATGTTATGGTTATTTATCAACTGATAATTTTGGGTATGTAAACATAACTTTTTTCATAATTTTTCATCCAGTTACATGCACACAATCACAAATACATAGTGTGCAAGAAAAAGTAAAAGAAATAACAATCATATGATCAAAAACATAATGAAGGTACTACTGCCTGGGAAGATATTGGAAGCATTATGTGTTGTCTAATGGTAGACCCTGTTGCCATATGGCATCACAAAAATTGTGACCAAGTCTCAGGTTGCTGATCTGACTTTCTGCCTCATTTACACACAATTCAGGGTTTCAATTGTTTCTGTTACCATTGTCAACACAACATACATACTGTATATTGTTTCTCACTCTTGATCTTTTTTTAAATTTTTGTATTTCTTTATGGTTCTTTATTATTATTGTTATTATTATAATTGCAGTGATGCTGTTATTATTATTATTGTTATCAATATTATTTTATTATTTTTATTATAAATTTTACTTATCTGAATTATTATTATTATTATTATTACAGTGGTCCCTCGGTTAACGAGCGCCTCGGTTAACGAGATTTCGGTTAACGAGTTACCTTCCATAAGATTCTTAACTTCAGTTAACGAGCAATCCCTCGATTAACGAGTTTCTTACGAGCCAACCTGAACATGATTTCGCTTGCATTTGGCGGTCCACCAGCTGTAGTATTAGTCTGCCAATACAGTAATCGGTTCTAGGGCTTAAATTCCTTACCATTTCAGCAAATATCAAGAAGTTTATACTATTCAATAATTTTAAAAGTTTAACATTAAATTTTTTTATTCATTTTAACAATTATTGAATATAATTGAAGGTAATGAAACTAGTTTTATGCGTGCCATCCAGCCTCTCAACACACCATACAGGCGTCAGTCTCTATCTTTTCAGTGGAGGTAACATCTTGCTTGAGACTCTCTTCAACTAAATGCCTTTTTTCTGCTTTTGCAAGCAAATTATTGGTCATTTTGAAATTTATTTTACATATTGACAATATATAATGCAGTGCAGTGTTGATTTAAAGAAAATAATCTTGAATTGCACCAAGAGAACTAAAATTTTATGGGTGAAATGGCACCATGGGGTGACTTCTCTTCCACCCCAATGCCTTCTCTTCTCCCTTCTCCACCCCCATTCTAATTCCCATCATCATCATCCAGGAGCCTTCTACATACACACCTTAAAGTAAGTGTACTTTTCTACCTTTTTTGTTGAATTTAGGCAATTTTCGGTGAGCTGGAACCAATTACCCAAAAACCCATTGAAACAATGGTTTCGGTTAACGAGTTTTTCGGTTAACGAGCAACCTTCTAGAACGGATTGTGCTCGTTAACCGAGGGACCACTGTATTACATTTTTGCCTCCCAGGCCCTGATGTGGGTCAGTGACCTGTGCCCAGGTGGGCTATCCCACAAAAAAAAAAAAAATAAATAAAAAAAATAAAAAATAAATAAATAAATAAATAAATCTTTGTGTGTGAGAGCGAGAGGGGGAACATTGCTAAGGGTCAACAGAGGCAGCCTGGCTGGTTGCTATAGCGATGACCGAGGACGGCCACGTATGAAGCAGCCAGCGTCTATGCAAATGGCGTCGCTGATGGCTGTGTTAAACTTTGATTTAGGTTTTCCTTAATAGTTTTAGCTGCATAATTTCATCTAGACAGTATTTTATTTATGCTTTTAATGTGTTAGGTAGTAAATTAGAGCAATTGTAAACTATTTATCATAAGTTAGGTAGGTTTTTCTTGTTTGTGAATGGATTTCATGTATTGGGGGCTTGAAATTGGGTTATTTTTGTCATTGTAACACTGAACCCTATTTTCCCATTTGCTCTGTTATTTGCGATACAAAAATTCACTTAATGAATGGTTTATTAGGAACCTAACCCATTCGTATATCAAGGGATACCTGTGTGATAGATTAAATACTGAAGAACTGTTGTGACTTTTCCCATGTCTGTCTGCCAGCCAATCAGCTGCCTTGCTGCAAACTGACCCCAGGCCTCAGGTACAAGTTTCAAGTGAATATATTATAGAAATTTACAATGTACTGAAAGACAATCTGTAAAGAGTGGGAGACAGAGAGAAAAAATCCAAAAATATGGAAGCCGTGTGATAAAAAATAAAAATTTACCTGCCAATTTACAATTCTTACCTCACAGTATGTCGGGTTATCTTCCTCTTCTGGAAATGTTATCACTTCAGCCTTCTGCTTCTCGATGGGGACCTCCCGTTCAATAGGGCCGCCAAAGACCTCCCGCACGTGCACGACCTTGAAGGTTTTTCGGTCTTGAGGACAAGTTGCATTTGTCTGAAATATTAGGAAGTGGTAATGAGAACAGTTCTTATTTAGTTTCTTGCTTTTACTGATGAGAGAGAGAGACTGACTGACTGACTTGTACAGGTATGATTAATTACATCTTGACAATCACATAAAGATGAACCACCCCCTTCTCCCAGCTTAACAGTATCTCACCTGATGATTAAACACCCTAATGTTAACCCTCAGGTAACATAGGGGTGTTTAATTAATCAAAGGTGAACTAACATGAAGGGGGGCCTAATCTTCACCAACTTAGAAGCACCTCTCACCTTAGCCCACTCCAAGATACAGATGAAGCAGAAGACGTGCTCGCAAGAGTCCGGTGAGCCCACTTCTCCCCTCATCCTTCCCAGGCAGATGGCACAAGTCTCCGCCCCTGGAGCTCCATTGCTGCTGTCCGAGTCGCTGGATCCAGCTTCATCCTCTGAGGAAAATTAACAAACATTATAGTACAGTAGTCATTTGGGGTATTGTCTCCTGTGTAAAGTTCACACTGAAGCAAGCATTTATGAAGTGAAATCATGGTAAAGTAACAGGGAAGAGATTCTACAGAGTAAATAATTGAGAATTCCCTTTTCAAGTCTAAATCTTAGTGGAAATAAGCATCTGATGGCTATGTTGGCTATTTTTGGTCAAATTGCTCTACTATTTACCAATGTTTGTATACCTGCATTGTCTAGGTACATTGTGAATTGTAAACCTGCATGGTCTCTGTACAATGTATACCTGTGTTGTCTACAGTATATACAGTACATGCTGAACTGCATACAGTAATATCCCCATTAGCCGAAATCTTCATTCTCTGGAACTCTCCTAAAGCCGTTATGACTTTTGAGCCTAATGGGAAATTCCGGGAAAACTCTGCAAAAATTTCTCCATCCCGGGCATGGGAAATTTTTTTTACAGGAGTTCTGAGAGATTGCATCATGCTCTGATGCATCCCCTTGAGCCAAGCGCATGGGTGGGCTAGCTGCTTGGTGACTTAGGCCGTAGGCTTATACACTTAGTATATATTCTGTTGCCAGTGTTCAAGGTTGTTCCCTCACTCCCTGCTGTTTTTGCATACAATTTGTGTTGTACTGTACCGTAATGTACGAGGTCACAGTCAGCCAGGAATACAGTATTAAAGCAGTGTTAAGGCATAAAAAGTAATTACAGTTACGTATACTGTACAGTACTATACATTCAGTAAGTGTGAAAGTACTGTACACAGCAGAGTGGACAGTGTATGCCAACTGTAGGCTAGTGTGTAGAGCTGTATGTATAGTATTATTTAGTGTGTATAGTATACATTGTGTGTATAATCCCTCCTTCATAGAGGGAGAGGGGAGTGACAGTTAGCAACACCTGCTACAGCAGATGGTACAGGACAAAGGCAAGCCATCCTGCAGCTTCATATCATCATTTGGTCTGCCTGCATCACAAGCTCAAGGTGACAGCATCTGCTTGTGAGTACTGTACTGTACAGTGGTTTATTTACAAAACAGTAAAACACCCATAATTTGTAGCCCTCAAATTCGTAATATTTTGCTGTTACAAAGTATAGCTATACAGTATTACAATTTTCATAATACCATGTACAGTACTGTATTTGGTAAAATGTTGGATTATGAGAGACATTTACAAATATTTATGGCGCACATGTTGCCATGGGATAGAACCGCCTAACTCAGTGTAAACAAGCACTAGGTAGTAGGCAGCTATCAAACAGGGAGGTACTGCTGCCTGGGAAGATATTGGAAGCATAATGTGTTGGCTAATGGTAGACCCTGCTGCCATATGGCATCACAAATATTGTGACCAAGTCCCAGGTTGCTGATCTGACTTTCTGCCTCATTTACACACAGTTGCAGGGTCTCAATTGTTTCTCTTACCATTGACAACACAACATACTGTACATACAGTAATTGTTTCTCACTCTTGCTCTTTTGTTCATTTTTGCACTTCTTTATGGTTCTTTATTATTATTATTATTATTACCCCCCAGGACTTGATGTGGGTCAGTGACCTGTGCCCGAGTGCGCTAATCCCCGTAAAAAAAAATAAATAAAAATACCCGTTACGAGTGTCATTCACCGTCAGTTCAAGTTGATCAGTCGTAGAGTATACATCTACTGTGTGGTCGACCGCACAGGCTTTTTTCCTACTTGTTTTTACATCATTGCTCAGTGCTTGAACCATTATGTCTGATAGCTGTAAACCAAGCACCTAATCTGGTTGGTACTGTACTGTACTTAGAAAATTTTAAATTTTGAGTGGAGGAGATTACAGAAAAGTAGTTTTCTTTTCCATATGGAAAGTGTACCTCATTTCGTAAAATCTCATAATTCGCAAGGGTTAGTGTAGCTATTCTTTCAAATTATGGGGTTTTTAACGTAAGTGTAGTGGTGTTTCTGTCCGTGCGAGATGCACAGTTTAGAATCACGAAAAACTTACCACCAGTACCTGGAAAAATTCCGGGGATGATAAATTTGTCTCAATACCCGGAAATCTCTCATTCCCGTCGGAGCTTTGCATCAATTATTCCAGCCAACGAGGATATCACTGTACACTACTTGCATTGTGTGTACAGTACACATGAACTGTTTTTATACATGCTGAACCAAATGTAAACTTGTATGATGATTTGACTTTTCTATATATCTAGCAATCATAGCTCAAGGTTCACATTACACTACGAGTATGTTTCATTTCTCAAGGTTTACATCACACGACAAAATCCACAGAGAGATAATCAAGACTAACATAACGAAACACTGAACCAAATTAACAACAAAAGATAGCAGAGGCAGACACATGACATGCTTGACGAACAACTAACCCCCTCACAACACAGAGAAATAACATCGAACGACATAAAACAACAGCAAATTAAAATCCAACAGTGGGGGGTGGGATGGGGGGCATTATTGAGTTATATAGAAGCAGATTCAAAACTAAACTCAGTAGTGTAAGTTTTTAAGATTCATGTTTTTGTTTTTGTTGATATTCAGTGTTCAGGTGGATAGGCCTTGGGTTTTTATTTGGAAGAGACTGTGAATTCTAGAGTCCCTATATTTCTTACTTTTTACTCACTGTATTAATTACTGATGTACTTAATTACTTACAGTTAAACCTCCATGTAATGGACTTCTCTCTGTATAATCCATTAGATGGGGGTATCACATCTAACGGACTCTCTATGTAACGGACTTCGATCTCCATACAGTTCGATGGAGGTTTTAAGTCTAACGGACCTTCGATATAACGTATTTTCCTCTCCATATAGTCCGTTAAATAGAGGTTTCGCTACCTATGTACTTACTCAACTTACAGCAACTCTAGATAATAAAGTACAGGTACTCCTCAACTTACGACAACCCGGACATACGACCGCCGTAGTGGTATAAAATATTTTTTGAATTACGTATTTTCTAGTACCGAAACGTTTCCGTCCCGTACGACAGCGTGGGCTGTAAAAGTGAGAGTTCTCGTGGTGCTGATAAGAAAAGGAGACAGTCAATTACTTTTGATATGAAAATGAAAATAATAATGCAATATAAAAATGGAAAAATGGTAGCAACCATTTCACGTGACCTTGGCGTCTCTCACTCGACGATATCAACAATTTTGAAGGACAAGGCAGAGGCATTTGCTACTATTAATAAGGGGATGCAAATGTTTGAAGAAATGGAAAAAAATGTTGAGCATTTTGCAAAAGTTGACAGACAGATCCAAGATGCACTTGCTTACTACAAGGAGATTTAAAATGAAAAGAAAATGCAAACTGTACAGTCTAAATTGGACATATATTTTAAGAAGTCCCCCACTGCTGTCTCCTCATGCCCCACCACTGCTGCCTCTTCTCTCCCTAAAGATGAGACAATACCTTCAACAAGCAAGTATGTTAGCCTGTCTGAAGAAAGTGAACTTGATGACCCACCCAGCCCTGTCTCCTCCTCTGCTTCATCCAATTAATGTAGTCTTCATGTTTAATAAAAAAATTATTGAGGCCCCGTGTGCATTCAGCTGACTACATTAAAGGTAAGTGCACAGTAACACTTTATTAATTTTTCATTAGTGATTACTTTAACTGTACCGTATTTCATTTTAGAATTTCTATGTATTATTTTCACATTTTCGACTTACGACCAAATCGCCTTATGACCTGGTCGTCGGTCCGGAACCCAGTCGTAAGTCGAGGAGAGACTGTATAATACAAATATATTCACTGATTAGGGTAAAGATTTTTTTATACTGTATTAGCGGTTAGGTGAAGAGTTTGTTTGGGAAATAGTTACAAATAATCGACACGTCTTGCAAATCTGTCCTGTCCACACAGCTGCCATGGATTGGGTGCTGAGGTTGTATTTTATCGTTTCTACGGATATGAGTTTCACCCCCGAGGTCATTAACTTTGGGGTTCAATTTTCTTTACTAGTTTGATAGAATTTTTTCTGACACGAAGACATCACTATCATTATCATTACCCTAACCATCATTGTCACCATCATCATCATTATCATCTTCATTATCACCATCATCGTCTGTGAACTCTCTAAACACTACAGGCACATAAATCTTTACAGTACAGTATATAGCTTCTACTGTATCCTCCACCATAAACACACTACACCACAGTAGTAAAAATCTTTTGTGTACAGTGAACCCTCACTTTACGCTCAACCCACGGCGGCCCGCGTAAAGTGAGAAACGCGTAAAGTGAACAACATAACATATGGGATTAATTGAAATAGAGACCGGGCCGACCCCCAAACTCCACTTTTTCAGACACAATACCTACGTTGTAGTAAAAATAACTTCTTAATTTTATGATGGTATGCACACACAATTAATAATTAAGAGAAATATCAATAATATTAGGTTTTTTAACACTTACATTAGTAGAAAAGATGGCTGGGCACACGGGGATGGGGGGTTGGTTCCGAGGCAGAGGGCAGATTATTGGCCCTCACCTGTATCACTTGTATCAATTGTATCACTATCCACCACAGAGGCTTGCAGGGCCTCTTTGTCAAACCCCTCAAAGTCCATATAAGTCCATATCCTCACTATCATTATCACTATCACTGACTTGGGCCGGCTGTGGTGGGTGGCGGGTGAAGAACTCGGTAATGTTTTGATGACTGGGCGACCTTGTGCGCACCCTGCTCGCGCCGCTCTCCGCGTAAAAGGGTACACACACCGCGGAAAGTGAGCATTCCGGTTTCGGCAGGGTACCGCGTAAACGTGGAAACGCGTAAAGTGGGACCGCGTAAAGCGAGGGTTGACTGTATAAGAATAACACATCTCACAACAAGTTCCCCTTCACTCACGTCATTTCCGTCTTGATTTTTTAGCATCCTGGAGGTAAAAACAAAAAACAAAGCAATAATTAACCCGGCTTAATACCCGAGCAAAAAAAAAAGCAATGAAAAACCCTATTATTGTACTGTACCGTAGATAAAGCGGCAGTTATCAAGTCCTCAAGGCCATCCAGGTGACAAAAGCTCAACTAATAGAGTGATTTACAATGTTTAGTATACTACAGGTAGTATATTGTAAAGCGATGCAGATGACACACTGGCTCTAGGATAACGCTGACACGACGTCTGTTAGTTCTCGAATATCAAAATGAGAATGATCACCTGAAGACTACCGATGTGTATTTCACATTAACACTAACCACCACAACCTAACCTAACCATCCTAACATTAACTTAACCTAACTATCACTAACCTAACTTAACCAACCTAACACTAAACTAACCTATCCCCTTCCCCAGGTAGCATTAGGGTGTTTTTATCAATAAGTAAAGTAAGCTGGGGGGGCTAACCATCAGGTGACCCAGCATAACTGAAGGAAGTAAAGGACTTGGAGAGGTAAGCATGTAGCTTGGCTCGCTGGGAGGAACAGATCATTTAGTAAGAGAGAGAAAGCCGTCACCGCACATTACAGCATGAAGCTACCTGGAGTGAGATCAAAGCTTGGCTAAACATGACGTAAAAAAAATTATGAAAACAGTTTAATAGTTTCATGCACTATTTCTATATCCTCATACTTTGCGCTAACAGGGAACTAGTATGTGTGACACGTATAGGGTCTTCACCATCTGATTCATCGTCTGTTTCAGGCCTGATATTGGGATGGTCGTCGTCGTCCTCCGAGTCATAAGGCACCAACTTCCTCTTCAGCCCGGCTCTCCTGCGTGAGCCCAGGCTGGTGCCGGGTTCACTGTCATCAGACTGACTGCTGCTTCCCGCTCCAGACGTGCTATCATCTGAGTCAGCCATCTCTACGACTACTTCATCTCAAACTGGATTTGCTCCTGCAAGAAAAGAAATACTCTAATGTGGTGGCAGGAACAAGATACCAACAAAACAAAACTGTACCTGGTACAGTACAGTACAGTATCTTTCATGAATACACCTGTACTGAGATCATATTTTCTTAACCACCCTGCTGAATAAAATTGTCTGGCATTAGCTAAATAAAATATTAAAAGTGGCATCCCTGTAGTGATGGGTTTAACTCTTAAACATTTATGAGATTCCTAATTGAATAATGTCATGCATCAGAAAATGCAGAAATTATTTCACCTTTCTCAACTTGAACAACTGACAACTTATACAGGTATACTGTACATTTTTTGTGTTGCTGGAAGGTGCACCTGATACTGTACTGTGGCTCTGAAGGCCATTATAAATGACAAGTGACCTATACAGTGCTGTCCTTAACCTACACTTGGAAATACATAATTTAGTTGTACATTAAGAGGTTGGTGAAGGACCTACATTTACAAAGTTGTAAACTGTATTTGGGTGGAAATAAGTGAGAAGATAGAGTTGTATAAACATGATGTGCAAGAAGTGAAGCTGGTGAATAATGACAAGTTCAACTAAATAGAATTTTTGTGGAGGGACAGTATGTTGAGGAATGGGATGATGTCAAGACTGGCTCCCTAATGTTAACCTAACCTAACCTTCACATCAATGGTTCTTAAACTTTTCTCATCCCAACCCCTCTGTAAGTGACAGTGAAACCTCTGATCACATCACTAGTTTCAACCCTAAAAGTGGATTTAACTGTCCTGTACAGTGTAACATTAAAATTGTAGGCATAAAAACAGCAATAACAAAAGCATATAAATACTGGATAGTAATACCGAAATGAAATCATAAAAACAGCAAAGGTTATACAAAGTAGAGTACACACTGTGTTACAGTCTCAGGGATGCTGGCCACCTCAACGCTCGGCAAAGCAACCAGCCAAGCTGGGGACACTGCCTCACTGTTTTCCCTAGTTATGGTGCCCTGCGCTGTGGACTCTCTTCTCTGACCTCCACACATTCACCACACAGCTTCACGGCGGAAACCCGGATATACTTAAATTTTTATACCATGTGATAATCACATCTTATATAATTTTTCTTCACTTTCTGCATGTAGGATTGTGTGTGCGTGTAACTGAGTATCTCCCTGAAATTACGAGTTGAAAAACAACCATAATACTGTACAACATATAGCTCACAGGTGTGGAACACTTGGAAATTTCACCGCATGGTCCGGGAATTACTTGGTGCTCATTTTAAATAATTCGTCCCAGAACATACAGGGTACAGTTATTTTCTAGCATTCTAGATACTGGGATGCTGAATAAACGGCTCCATACCAGTACAGTTTAGGGTCATGTAGGCAAATAACAGATATACAGTAAAAAAAACTTCTTTGCAAAGGGGGGGGGATTTATCAATAGGAAGTTGGTATTCATTGCGCTTGTCATTTGCAAGATGGCATCATTGTCGATGCAATGTGTAACAACGACATTGCCATTATTATTCATGGGTAAACTGGGAAGAAACAGAGGTTAATTTTTACTTAAGGACATGAGTCCCTAGGGATTGACCAATATGTTTTTCCAGTGTGTTTTAAATGAATCTGACCTTCATTTTTGGAGGAAATTGCTAGTTTTTGCCCCCCCCCCAACAATAATGGGGGAGAACCTGAGAAATCGGGGTTTTTGGGTGGGGGAGAAAACAAAAACGAGTCATCCGACCTAACCTAACTGACCTAACTCCTAGCCGGACCAGGTAGGCCTAACCTGACCCCTAACTGGGGGCAGACCCCCCAGTAGGCCTAGCTTAAACTAACGTAAATGTTTCAGTAGTTAAAACTTTGGGGTGCGCCATGTGCGAAGGTACAATACCTTAGTTGGAAGTGGAAGGACCAGGGATATGTAAGGATTGGATAGACTAATCGTCTTTCTCGTAAAACTGGGCAATAAACTTAAAATAATCGTAGGAGCACAACTGACAGACAACCTCCACCACGGCCATTGTGAGACTGGTCAATGAAATTATCCAGACTGCTTCTTTAAAAAAAATCAAATGTGATTAGTCGAAAAAAATTTGCGTGACGATATCGATACCTCATTGGTCACGACTGGATGACGTCAGTCAGCATTGCGCATGCGTGATGAGCAGATAACATTGCCTCAAAGAGACGAAGACTGAAAACTGCTTAAAATCAATTAAATTCAATTGTCGCTATTATCCATTTCTGCCATGTATATATGGGGTTCAAAATGCTCAGAATAAGGAGATTTAAATGTTTCAGTAGTTTATAACTTTGGGGCGTTATGTCAGAAAGCAAAATAATACCAAAACCTAAATAGGAAAAGTGTTATTTAAACAAAATATTAATCACCTTTCACACACACACCTGAAACACTCTACACCACTCTTACCCAACACACACCTCTCGCACTTTCTACACACCTGCCACACAACTCTCACACACTCTACACCACACACTCTACACCACACACTCTTACACCACACACTCTACACCACACACTCTTACACCACACACTCTACACCACACACTCTACACCACATACTTTACCCCACATACTCTACCCTTGGTCATGGAGTGTGAACATCAGGCAACACCTCTCACACCCACTACACACCTCTCACACCTCTCACACACACTCTTTACCTTCTTTCACTCTTAATCCAAGTGGCCCTCTTACTAAAACTTGTCAGTAGTGGATTAAATATGGTGATATCCCTTAAAATGTTTAGTTTGGGATGTGGGTGATGTTTACGTGGTAGTTGTCAGGTAGTGCTGGTAGATGGCGACTATTTCTTTATTTACCTTCATATATCCTTTATAAACATGATACCAATAAATACAAATAATATATAAAAATTTCTTCATAATATTAACCCAATTTAGTGTAGATTTATATATATATTAGAAATTTTTACCTAAATATATGTGATGCAGCTCTGATAAACAGCTATATCGTTCTCTTACCTTTAATTCTGTCTTTATTTACCATATTTACCTCGATATATCCCTTAAAAACAAATAATCTACCTCATAAAACATAAGTAAACATATATAATCCATTAAGTTATTATATAAACTCAAATTAATGTATATTTATATGTATTTTCACAATTTTATCATCAATAAACTTTTACCTAAAAATACGTCGTGAAAATTGTGATATTGATAATATATATAATATATGATCGACATTTACGGGAGTATTTATAGTTAATTATAAATCTATGTTAAATGTTGTAATGTTTTCAATATTTAATGGCAGAAGAAAGTCTGTTTTTATTTATTTATAGTACAGTGGTATAATGACAAAGGTTACTGGGTCCCTCTCTCTCTGGCGAGTGTGACAAGTGTATACAGTATAAATATTATAAAGGGACTTACTAAAGCCTAAGGAAGGAAGGATATTTCATTAACACATAATCAATATTATTTACACAATATCTGGCCAGTATGGGGAGGATCATCGTGTCTCCGTCATGGGGTATTTCTTTCTCATGTTATTTTAGTTCACAGTTAAAATGACCTAACTATTTTTACCAGCTTACGTGTATCATTCTGGAAATAATAATACTAAAATAATAATAATAATAATAAAATACGACTCGTGACCATCAACTATTCGGTAATTATAGGTGTTTTATGACAGTTTTGTACGCTGATTACTTTCATTTCTATTAATTTTCTTGGGAAAATATTTAGTTTTCTAGATATAGGCAAGTTAAGATAACATTCTTACAGTCGCTTCATCGAATCCAGGTAACAAAGTCACAGGAAAAAAAGAAAAGTTAACTATCAAATTCTCACATTTTTTAAGGTTAATATGTCAATCAGTTTCAGTAAAGGAATATGCAGAACCTAACCTAACCAAAATTGTGACTTTTTTCCTGTGACTTTTTTCCTGTGACTTTATTACCGGCCACCGCTTCATCAGCTGTGATGTGACAGATGTACACAATACAGTCAATCAAAATCGAGTCAATGACAGTCAATCACATTCGAGAATTTCACATAGCCAATCACATACGAGGTGTGTTCCCGTTGTTTTGTGGATACTGTGTCCTAATTTAGAGGTAACTACAACCTTACGTTGAAATTATTTACAAATCACAGTACCCTACCCATGGATTATATACTTGTAAGGATAGTTCACCAAGCACCTGTTATACCCAAAATGAACAGCTCGGTGACGTTACTGTTGTACACACGTCATCTGGTGAGCTCCGTGTGTGCCCGCGCCCGAGGACTAAACACAGTAAAGACACGTTGCTGTAAGGTCATTAACTTTACCTCCGCCCCATTCAATGACGTCACGCTACCCCTGGTGACCCGTGACCAGCTGGTGCCCAAGAACTACATACAGCCTTGGCTTGGTTGACATTTGATTGTTTCATTTTTTTTAACACGCGTAAGACTTAGGTTTTTCTGTGGCCAGGTATAACAAAATGAATGCCTTATGTTCTCACAGTCCTCCCCAAAAAGTGATCTAGCAAAAAAAAAAAAGCAAAACATTACAAAGGAACACCCGGGGAGGGGGGGGGGGCAAGGGCATTTCGTTGTTGACATGGACGAAGCAACTCAATTCTTGAGCTTTTTAGCAATGCAAAGATTTTCCTTTTGTCAGACGTAACAAGAAAAATATACCACGGTCTTCTGGATGACCTGATATTGACTGACATTGCAGAACTAAGAAACTACAAGACAAGTTCTCACGCGTTTTGAAACAAGCGCGGTGGTAACACCTGAAGCCCACGTAACATTGTCCTTAATTTTAATTTTTTCAAGATTTTTAAATATTTTCAGGGTTCATTTTGGTCACATACAGCAAGTTGAATGTCTCACCTTCCTGTAGATACCTGGATATCGACAGACATTTCAGAATTAATGAGATACAAAAGAAATATGAACTCTTCAAACAAGTTCTCGGCTAGCCCAATGTGGTGCTTACTTTATCAGAGCACTTGCAAGACATTTATCCATTTATCAAAAAAAAATTATCTCTGGGAAATCTATAAAACTTGATGTGGTCTCTGGTTGGGATTTGAGCGTTGATGATGCACCCGCATATTGTACAAATTACCATAATTATTGATACACTGGTTCTGGGAGCAGACGCGGGCAAGGATAAAAATAAAATACTCGTGTGTGCTCGCGTCAGCTTCCTACAGAATCAGATGCAGGTATGTATTGTATTATCAATGTTCAAACAGTGTAGTCCTTGCTATAAAACATCAGGAAATATGATATGTCTGATTCGTGTCATCTCATACTAGCTTTTTTGGCATAGTGGTAAGGAGAGCCATAACAAGGGCTACTAGGCTGGTAAGTGGTGGAAATGTGTCCAATGGGATTCGATTGTCATTTTTTCTCATCCAATCAGTGGGAAGTGATTGTATAACCTCACCCAATCAGCATCGAAAGCGTGTTTAATACCCGTAGTCAGCTTTCAGAGAGAGAGAGAGAGAGAGAGGTTGCCAGTGAAGGGGAGAAAGAGAGACAACTCAACCTAACGAAACCTAGTTTAATGTATCCTAACCTAACCTAATTTGAGCTAACCTAACCTAGCCTCACCTAAGCTAACCTAATCTAGCCTCATCTAACCTAACCTAGTTTAATCTAACGTAACCTAACATAACCTAACCTAACCTAACATAACCTAACCTAACCTAACATAACCTAACCTAACCTTACCTAACCTAACTCAACCTAGCCACCTATGAAGGCTGACACTTCATAAGCTCTTCGAAGTCAGGATATTACTAGCTTAAGATGAGAGAGAGAGAGAGATTTGCCAAAAGAAGAAATGTGTGTGTGTGTGTGTGTGTGTGTGTGTTTGTGTGTGTGTGTGTGTGTGTGTGTGTGTTTGTGTTTATGTAAGGGAAAACTTAACCAAGAATATCCTATCGAGATCGAGCAAACTTTAACAAACAAACACCACACACACTCGTACATACAAACACATGCAAACATAACGAGCATACATACCCAAATAAAAACACACACATTTACATATGCAAACACACCAAAAGATACAAAAACAAAGACTTACATCAAAACACACACAAACATACACACCCAGTCCTGAACGGCAGACCCAATCCTGAACAGCATACCCTAGCCTTGAACGGCATACCCAACCCTGAACAGCATACCCTAGCCTTGAACGGCATACCCAACCCTGAACAGCATACCCTAGTCTTGACCGGCATATCCAACCTTGAACAGCAGACCCAGTCCTGAACGGTACCTCCTACACGCACCTGTACTATAAAATGTAAATTATAATCACCTCCGAGCTTAGTTTGTTTACTCTCGATTCTTACACAGTATAATCTTATAGCCAGGACCTCTGTGTAAACAAAAGAATATTTTCTTTAGGCTAGGTTGTCCCTCAGAGGGGTAAGAGCCTATTCATATATATATTTTTTTTCTTTTACTTTGTAAATTCTGGATTAATTTTTTAGTTTCTTGCACAAATTTCGAATGTTTTTTTATATATATAT